TTTTTTTTTGGTTTTTCTCAGGTACCGGGAACTGAACTCACGACCTTGCGCTTGCCAGGCAGGCGCTTTTGCCACTGAGCTAAATCCCCAGCCCCTCATTGTACACTTTGAATTTCATGACAGCTTTATGAACTTCATGTTCTTATTCACCATTCAACATACAATCTTTAGCTCTATGCTAATAACTAGTAGGTGTTCTGTACATATTTGGAAAGTAAATACAGAGCTAATATCTTACTGTTCATTTAAATGACAAGGAGTCACCCATGCAAAGGGCAGAGGAGAACGCTAGAGACGAAAGGAGTAGGGAGTCCACGGGCTCTCAGTTGTGTATGACAACTAGAGGTGCTCACGCACAGAACAGCAGTGGGATATCATCAGGGAGGGGGTACAGGCACAAGGAGAGTCAGATGGAAAGGGTTGAGCATAGATGGCTTTGTAAGACAGTATAAATAATTCTTATTTTATTCTTATTGTGCTAGAAAGTTCCAATGGAACTGACTGTGCAGCACAGACCTGTAATCCTAGCACCCTGGGAGGCTGAGACAGGAGGACTGCAAGTTCAAGCCCAGCCTGGGCAACTTGGTGACTTGGCCAGATCCTTTCTTAAAAGTAAATAAATAAATAAAACAGAAGGGTTTTTTCTTTCTTTTTTTTTTTTTTTCTTTTATTCTTCTTCAAGAGAGGGTCTCACTATGTAGTTCAGGCTGGCCTTGAACTTACTATGGAGCCCAGGCTGACCTCGAACTCTAGGAGATCCTCCTGCCTCAACCTCCTAAGTGCTGGGATTACAGGCATACACCACAATGCCTGGCCTAAGTGGAAGTTTTGAAATAGACTGAACATAATGGATTTACATCTGAGAGGTCACTGTCCACAGTCATGCTGAGAACTATGACTGTGTAAACTAGTGAATAACACCTGTCACATTGCACAGGTTCCTGGTGGCTCAATTCTCAGCAATCACATGGAAGGGCAGCCCCAGCCTCACTGATAAACTCCCTGGCAAACACAAGGGAAGATGTGGTGCTGGCACCTGGGGGTGGGGGATGGCTGATCACTCTGGTGCACAGGCTGGTGAACTTTCATGGTCTCTGTATCAGGGTCAGTCAGGAGACAGGGGCTGCATGGTGATTTGAACAAGTCTAATATAGAGCACTGTGTGTCACAATAGAATGATGTACAGTGCTTAGGAGGACCCGCACACTACCCTGGACTGAGAGGCTGTGGGTAGGACCCATAGTGTGGTTGCAGAGGTACTTGCGGGGATGGTGGTTACATCTAGCTAGAGCTGGGCCAGACCATGCCTCTAGTCAATGGGCAACACACTCATGAGTGGCAGGCCAAGGACAATAAGCCGGAACACACTGTGAGATTCCAGTGGCTGAGGATGGGGTGCCTGGTCAGTGGAGCACCTGCAAAATGGCTGGGAAACGCCTGGGACAGTGCAGCTGAGGCTTGATGAGTGAACAGCATTGAGAGCACCACAGGGAGCCTGCGCAGGACAGGAGCAGACAGAAGGAATAGAAGTGGAAAGCAAAGGACCTTTCCCTGCAGTGTCCCTCTGGCACCCTCTGCTGACATTTTAACATTATAAACCATAATCTCAGGACTCAAGAGGCTGAGGCAGGACTACTTTGAGTTCAAGTCAGCCTGAATTACACAGGGAGACCCTGTCTAGAGGCAGAGAGAAAGAGAGAG